AAAAGGGGGGGGGGCAGAGTTTGTACTCACTTGGTGAGTGGACTAACTAGGCGTGCACAGGGCAACTTGAGCTGCGCAACCGTTTTAGTTCAGTCCTCTGTGCGCGCCTGTCTCAGTTTATGGTATAACAAAGAAGTTTCGAGCAACAATTGCCGGCACGTTGTGACAATACACAAACTTTTCAGTCTCCAGAAACGGGGGTTGTCTGTGTGATACAACGAATGCGCAGCTGATGTTGCCCTGTGCACACTTAGCCTATGCCCCTCACGGCTGTAAACTTGGCGTTGATGAGAGACAAACGGACAAAAAATTGAATTTCCTAATTTATTTGCACACGCACAACCTTAACGTGCGACGAGAGGAGATTTTCTTAGTGCCTAACCACATGGCAACTTTAGTGTCGCAACTGTTTTCTCGCCCAAATGTAAACAATAGGTAAGCACCGGGCGCTCGGGCAACTCGGGTTTTTTGGAGACTGAAAAACTTGTGTTTTGTTACAACTCTCCGGCAACGCAACTGTTGCTCAAATCTCCAATGTTACATACCAAACTGACACACAGTGTGCACAGGCAACCAAACTGTCTCTGGACTCGACAAGGCCGCGCCACTCCCCATATTTTTATCACTCAGCACAACAAACTCGACAGAGGTACACACAATACATTGTTTCACTTCCGCAAGAAAAGAAAATTTATAAAGATCCAACTGGATAGAAAAATGTATTTTCTATCATTGAAAAGAAGCCTGTCCTCTACAACAAGACCTCAGATGAATATGCAGACAGAGATATATATAAGAAAAAGAAAGCTTGGGTCGAGGTTTGTGAGGCTGTGATTGAGAACTGGAAAGATCGGAGTCCAGAGGAAAGACAAGTCAAAGGCGAATAGGTCCCAAGTATAAACTCTCTTTCCAATAAGCCATGAAAATGAGGAAAGGGAACGAAGTCTATGGCGTCAAATGAGGAAGTCAGTAATGATGATAGCCTACTATGTTGGCTGGCTGTTACTTGGCTCTGCGCGCGTGGTGTATAAAATAAGTTGGCCGGAGACAGCAACTGATGATCAACTAAAATTGTCCAGTGCGCGCCTTGCCCAACGACGACGGCCAACTCCGCTGCCTTTTTTTTTCCGTTGAGAGGGACAGGAAGTGGGGTTGGGTGGGACAGACAGACAGACAGACAGACAGACAGACAGACAGACAGACAGACAGACAGACAGACAGACAGACAGACAGACAGACAGACAGGCAG